ATATTTCCTTAGATGTTCTGTAGATTTGTTCATTATTGTAAAGTCAGATTTAAGTAGATGGTTTTTAATAGTGTTGTATTGATACCAGTATCGGGTAGGGCCCTGATCCAGCACTAAAATGGTGGTATCTGTATAGGCAAGTACCAACGATACCATTTTGAGAGCTAAAAGTTTATTCAACTATTGTCACCCATTCCAGGTAGGCAATAAAACGTTCTACTGGATTCACTTTTTATTAGTCTTTTTCCTGCTTCACAAAGGTAGGCAGCAGCTTGACAAAAACATGATGGCAATTATTTTACATCCAAGTAGTCTGATGTGTGTGTGTATATATGAAGAACTGCAATGTCAAACAGATGTAATCGGTATCAGGGCCAAAAAATGGTATCGGTGCAACACCAGTTTTTAAGTACTTTTGGACTTTTTAAGCCTTAAGGTAAAACTTACCTTTTTTTAAAAACTCAGTAGTGTTTTTTACTTGATTAAACTAAAGTGGAGCCACATATGGAGGTACTATTTCCATTTGAAAATCACCTTGACTCGTTAACAAATTTCTATCGCTGTTAGACATTTATCTTGTGCTTAAACAACCTTGGCAGCCTTCAATTGATCCACAACATCTGAGCCACAGCTTCAAGAATTTTATTCTTCTATTCCAGTCGAAAATGTCTTAAATAAGTTTCTTTTAAAGTGCCCTTGCAGACTGCAGTTCCCTTTTAAAACTTTTCTTTTATTATGTTGGAGCTTCCTGATGGTGGCTAACCCGCTTTGATGTCTGATGTCCTTTCCTCTTTCCTCCGCCGTCACTTCTCATCCCCTCCTTGTCAACTCATGGCAAGCTTTTCTTTCATTTTTGTGATTTGTTCTTAAGGTACTGGCGGGGATGAATGTGCACCCAGCTGAGTTTGACGGCCTTAAGCAGGAGTACAACGTCAAAGGCTATCCGACCTTCTGCTACTTTGAGTGAGTCGAGTCATCTCATTAGTTTCGTTTTGAGGCTATAGAACATCAGGGAGGAAGCTGCTTCTGAAAGAAATCCTTAAAAACAAACAGTATGAAGATGGCAGACATTTTTTTCTTTTTTACCCTGCAAACATAGCCTTCAAGTATTAATATTGCTTCCTGCAGAACAAGTGTGGATTTTTAGAAACTTTGTCCCTTTGTCAAAAAAAGATGCTCTTTGTAGTGAGCAAATAATATGGTTTGGTTCTTGGTGTTGTTTTGAAGCATCAGGTTGGACCATAGAGAGAGATGGTATGATATGACCAGGGAAGAAGGTTTCATTTATTTAATTTGAACCATTTCTGTGTTAAGCTTTGGAGACACAGCTCTGGTTTAGTGTCATTAGTATGGAGTCAGAAAGGGGTCAAAATGTTTGTAAACTTCTAAATCTTAGTTAAAACTGAAAAACTAGAAGTTGATATCTAAATCTCAAATTTCTACCTTATAATGAGAGAAACTAAAAAAGCAAACATAAAATAATAAGAATTGCATCTAAATCCAGTTTAGTATTTTAATTACACTTTTTCTTTTCTTTACTTTTTATTTATGTTTTCTGATTCAAATCCATCCATTTCAGTTTTTTTTCTTTCTTTTTTTTTTTAAGATTCAGATTGCTTTTTCAGTTTCAGGATTTTTTTTATTTTTTTTTTTTTACCTGTCTCGTCACAGTCATCTAAATCTAATGGAGAAAGCTTGCTTTTGCTTTTCTAGACTTTTGGGTGGTCATGTTGTACTTGCTTACTGAATGCCATGTGCGTAACTTGTAACTTACATAAAAAACGTGATGTAAGTCGTGCTGCCCAGCGCTAGGCTCTGGTGCTGCCCGAAACAGTTAAGAGAATCGTTAAGCAAGCTGCCAAACGGTGCCGTGGAATTGGAACACACAAAACCGGTTCTGAACAGGTACCGGTTTCCGATTCCCATCCCTACTTAGCAGTGAAATGAAAATGTATACTTCTTAAAGTGCAGCAGTGATCAAATGTCCCTTTCAATGTTGCATTCATGGACTGTGGGAACTCCAACTACTTGCTCAAGTAGTTGGAGTTCCCACAGTCCATGATCGCTCCAGTACTGCTGCAAGCTGTCAATCACATTTCCCCGCCCACTCCCGTCACATTGGGATCAAAGTCTGAATGTGAAAAAAACTGATTCGAAAGTGTGAAAAAAAAATCCTGAAACTGAAAAAGGAATTTAAAACTAAAAAAATAAATAATAGAAACTGAAAGAGATTTGAATCTGAAAATATAAAATCAAAAACTGCAGTAAAGAAAAGAAAAAAATAAATAAAAGAAAAAAGTTTCATTAAAATACTGAAGTAAATTATGAGTTTTTTTCAAGCTAAGGGGAAGAATTTATATTTAATTCTTATTATTTTATGTTTACTTTTTTAGTTACTCAGATAAGGTAAAAATTGGACATTCAATATCAACCTATATTTTTTCAGTTTCAACTAAGATGTATAAGTTTACAGACATTTTGACCCCTTTCTCACTCCATACATTAGATGCAAAAAAAAATGTGTATTATTTAGGGCTGCAACAATTAATTGGATTAATTTGTTCAATTATTAAAATAAGCATCAAGTAATTTATTATTCAATTAAGAGTAAATCACTCAGAACCATTATGAAAAATTGTAAAATGTATATAAGGACTTTGCATTTAAGATTAAATGTTTTTGTCTGTGAATAATTTGTGTCCAGAACTCTTTAACTGTATAAAATCTTTTTGCTTTCAGATCATTAAGCAATTAATCAAAGAAATGATCAACAGATTCATGCATAAACAAAATAATTGATAGTTGGAGTCCTAGTTTTATTTAAAACACAATAATTCAGAAAGGTTAAGGTCCTTTGGAAGAGAAATAGATAAAACAAAAACTAAAATACAAGGTATTTTGTTATATTTGCTTAATTAAAAGTCCATAGTGCAGATGATATTAAAGTGAAGGAATAATAAGGAGGAAGCATACAAAGAGTGATAGTTTAGGGTTATAGGAAATTGCAGTGTGCATCCTGAATACTCCCTAACTGTTGGATTACCAGGATGCCAGTGTGCTCTGTTTCTTATTTCTCCAGCTCCTGCTTTATCATCCCAATTTCCACATTAAACACTCTTTCATTCCAGTCTGGCCTTTTAATTAGGCCGGGACTGATTAAGTGCCTCTGTGGTTAGAAATTGCGTGTGCTCTTCCCTCCTTCCTGTACATCTCCGCATATCTCTATCATGCATTCGTGTGTCGAGGCACGTGCACACCCTTGCACTTGTTTATAGCCGTGCCAGTGCCAGTCTGTTAGCTGGAAGTGCATTAGTGTCTGAGCAAAGCTAGCTAATGACCATCCGAGTCCATTGGCTTCAATAATGAGTCCCTCACTGATAAACTGCTGCTAATCACAGCAGGGTAAATCAGCATCAACACCTTCAGTTATCTCACTGTAGCACTCACTGCAAGCCGAACTTTTTCAAGGTCTTCTAGTGTTTTCACTCCTGCTGTAGAAGGCGGCACTTTTCCCCAGAGTTTAGCCCAACTAAGTTATATTAAAGGGAAAAAAGTTCAACCTTTTTATCCTTGCTTTGTCCTCTTACAATGAAAAGCCGCTGAGACTGTCAGTCAGGCGTTTATATCCAAATTTCCTCAGCTTGGTTTTGCAAGGTTTTATTGTACTTTACAGCTGTAGAGATAAAACCTTGGAATATAGAGTTGGTCATAAATCTCACTGATTGAATTCCAAGCAGCCGCTCTCTCCTCCTGCATTCATCAGTTCACCTAGAAGCATGTTTTAAACCCCAAATCCCATTGAGTAAAATCGTGTATCACCTTTAATTATGTCTATTCTGTATATCAGGAGCTCTGACTGCAGTCATCATCGCCATCTGTGCTTGCAGAGCTGCAGGGACTGACACTGACCCGTCAGTTGGACGAGCTCCTCTGCCCACATTTAGTCGCAAATCTCACAATCTCTTTTACTTGGTGACAATAAAACAGTTTCAATCTAAATTTAAAGGCATTACAGGTGGCTGGAGGAAATGAGATGAGAAAAGCTCCCTGAATACACTTTCAAGCTTTGAACACAAAATATAATACAGTGGGAAGGACACTAATAATCATGTTAAGTCCTTTTTTTTTGATGCTCTCAGAAACTCTTTAATAAGAGCTGCTGACTAAAGGTTTTAACCTTGATCTTTGCCTTTTCTTTTTTTAAGCTGGAAGGTTTTGTGATCTGATCTTTTCTTTTTTCCACATGTTTAGTTATTTTTTATGCAGGTTCTAGAGAAAGATGAGGAACTAGAGTTTTGGCTTTAAAAAAAACACACCAGTTAAACAGTGCAGAACACTGAAAACTCTCAAGACTTATTTTTTATGCCTCAAAAGCATATTAGCACATTAATTTTCTTTATGATGAACATTTCATCTTTACAGCAGAGGTTAGGAACACTGAAGAACTGGCATGTTGGAACTTTGTGGTGGAGAAAAAGCATTGGCTTATTTTTTTCTTCTAATAGTTATTAATAGGAGCGCTATGCAAGGAATTTATTCCCCTTATAGCCCTTCCTCATGCAGAAAATACTCAACATGAAATAGGAACATATAGTAATCAGATTTTCTCTAACTTTATCAGCTGCAATGCTTAGACTTAGACTGACTTTAGTGTCTTTTTGTACACAGTGCATACAAAAATAAATTTAATTCAGTACAGCTCTTAATACATTTTCATTTCTAAAGTGCAGCAGTGATAAAATGTAAGTAAGAAAATAAATAGTAGATAAAATGTAATGCCAAAACTTTTTTTAAGTCAGGGGTTCACCGTTTGATTGGCTGGTTGATTTATCAGCCTCAGTTTAGGGAGATTGCTGATCAGTCGATACTTAGATGGGAAGTAGATCTTTTCAAAGGATATTAACTACGTCTATAAAGGTCTTTTTTGAGATCCCATAACAACTGATGTTGTGTTTTATTAAAATGGATTGTATCCATCCAACCAGCAATCAGTTCAACCTTATTGTCAGTTCTTGATTTTATTTTATTTTACATAGCATCTGTAAACTTAAAATAGTGATCTTCATGCAGCATAAATCAGCATTATTGTGAAGTGGAGGGAAGTTGATCTGCAGTTTTCGTTTATCAGCTGTTGTATATTTTTGGGGGATGAGATTTTCTTTTTTATATTCAACCATCAATCTTTACAGAAACTCTGACCAGCCTGGCTGTCCCTACAGGACAAAAGCAACCCCACAGCATCATGCTGCCATAACCATGTTTTATAATAGAGATGACTGTGTTAGTTTACTGCCACACACAGCATATTCGATTGGTTTCACACTTTACTGAACTCTTTCCAGCTTTTTAAGCCGGACTAAATAGTGCTCCGTGAGATGTTAATATTGGGAAGATTGCTTCATAAATGTTCCCTAAACTCCTGCACAAGTTCCCCTCTAACCTGGCTGTTATACTTGGACTTCATTATGCTTTTTTGGCTAATGTTCTCCAACTAACCAATAAGGCCTTTTCAGATTAGCTGCATTTATACTGAGATAAAAAAGAGCAATGAGAGCTATTTAGTAATTAGCTGATTTCTGCAGGCGGTTAGTTGAAATGGATTTTAATTAAGGGTATCGGTAAAGGGGGTGGACAAATGCTGATATATGCTAGACTCGTTTTTTTTTTTACAGAAATGAAAAAATAAGGAAACAGAACTGTTTTATCCCAAATACCTACAGCATACACTAAGGTCTGTTGTTGTAATGTGACTAAATGTGAAAAGGAAATATGATGTCTTCATCATACTGGGTTTCTTTACCAGAATCATTACTTGTTTCACTTAGAAAGATGGGAAGAAAAACTAAAATTCAGTCTTGAAAGTTTTGTTTTCAATGGCGTCAGAATTTGAATTTGGTTAAAAAACATAAAAATAAAAAATCTTCTACTACAAATATTTTCTCATTCCTATTCTGCCTCCATTCATTGGTAAGTTTCTTCCCTCCCTTGTGACCACAGGATGGTGATTAAATGTTGCAGGTTGAAGGTCTACCAGCAGCTCCCCTTAACAGATGAATCCACCTGTTGGCGTGTTATTTCTTTAGTCTTTTCATTTAAAACTAATCGTTAGGTTAGTTATTTAGCTGAAATCACCATCAACTAAGGATCCTTACAAGCTTTCAGATTTAAAGGCTGTAACAAACTTAATTTATCAACAGAAAGATGCTCCATTTCCTTTTTTTTTTTGTCTTATTTTTAATTTATTTATTACAAGTAAAATTTGTTCAGTTGGTGACTTAAAGTTAAATAGAGATCTTCTAATTTTTCAGGAAAGGAAAATTCCTTCATCACTATGAAAACTATGGAGCTACACCCAAGGACATAGCAGACTGGCTGAAGAAGTGAGTATGGTGCTTTTTTTAGTTGTGTTTTTTTTAAGAGTGGGTCCAGCTATAAGCCCATTATATCCATATGTTTTCCATCCTACCAATCTGATTAATGAAACCCAGCATTGGAGCCTCAGAGAGGAGGGCAGCTCCTCAAGGCTTTGTAGTATCACGTTGCCCCAACCTTTTGTTATCAGTCATCACCTTCGTTTCTGTGGTGTGATCTTCATCGCACCTTTCTTGCCTTGAATCCTCCTCACCTTGTCATGTTGTCATCAATCTGCACCTGCTTCCCCCTCGTCTCTTTTTTGCCACCTTGTCTCAACATCTCTGCCTAAAAGTCCCTTTCTTTGTCTGAAGGGTAAGCTATAGCACATTTCAGAGCTGCAACCAGAAGGTACAAATCAAGGCTTCACAGCTATAGCGAGAAGCAGTGTGAGTCTGACAGGTGGTGCATTCAAGCTGGCCTTTTCAGCCCTGGAAAAATAACTATTAGGTTTATAAAGATTGGTTTAAAATGGTGCAGTACACTGTAAGTCAGGTCAAGCTTTCATGTTCAACTATTTGATAATCCTACATATGGATATTCTGACTTGTGATCTGATTATGGAGGTCCTTTGTAGTCTGTATAAATCTAGTTTCTTCCAATCCTTGCTTCCTTTATTGCAATTTTCCATTTCTTATCTACTTCTTTCCTTCCTATATTTCCTACCTTGTCTTCTCCTTCTGTCTATTCTACCTCCCTACATGTGGAATGAGAAATGTGTTGGAAAAAGTTTCCATAATCTGTTAAGAATCACTTCACCTCTTTTTAACCCAAAGCCTATAATTGTCTCCATCACCGTTACATTGAGGACTTTGCAGATTAATTTACCGATGCTCACCTTTAAAATGAGATCATTATAAATATTCTTAATCCTTGGTAAAACTTGATCACATTTGTAGTTTGTCATCTCTAAGGATTTTTGTTTTGTTGTAGAGATGCAGAGTTTTTTTTATATAAGCAGTACTAAAAACCTTCACAGGATCTGTTCTTTTTTTTTGTTCCCCAGCTCTATTTTCAGTTTTTTTGTCCCAGTTACAGTTCTCAACTTTTGATTAAGTTTCACAAAACATCAGTTTCAGCAGTTTTGTCTTATCTTTTAACTTCCCTCTCCCTTTTGCTTTCTCTGCTTCCCTACTTGCACAAGTCATTGTCTTATGCAGGTAGAAACAACGGTTCAAGATAAGCTAACTCTAACAAGGTCACTGGCAAAAACTTCTGTAAACTATTGATTTTTGTTTTTCCTGCATCAAGTTTTAGACAAATAAAAAAAAGCCATTTAATGTTGTTTTAATATCCTGGAAAGCAAACTTATCATACTGTAAGTAAAGGCTTTTCTGATTAATACAAGTTGCTCTATTTACAAAAAAAAGACAATCTAATGCTAAACTATGCAGCCACTCCATCTGCACTGATGAAAATTCACTTCTGTAGGATGAGTGACTCCAACTGATGGCAGATTGACCTGCATTATGATAAATTTCCGTTAAGGTCCTGGCCAAAGTATATACTCAGTCCTAATGCAGTTAAATACTGATCTTCCTTCATCTAATCACACAAGCTGTATATAAGAAGAACATGTCCAGATCAACACAGATTGATTAAACACATGACAGGACGTTCATAAACCAATAAGTAAGGATTTCAGCTAAAAAGTAAAGAAAATTCTCTCTTATATGAACCAGCCCTCTTTAATTTGATTTCAGCATTTCAGGAATTTAAGATACAAGTTATTTTATGTTTGCCCAAATTAAATTGTTTGAACTGTATATGTCTTTACACCTGCTTCTGTAAATTCTAGCAGTTTTCCAATCGTACTGAAGACAAATATTAAACCAGCCATCTCATTAACATACGAAGCAAGAAATAAATACATGTGGAGACGTAAAAATTAATGTGGGAAGAAATAAATTAATGTATGAATACACATATGGGAGAAAATATACAATTAAAAAATAAATAGATAAATAACTCGAATAGAATGGAAAACCCCTTTATTGTCCCATGATGGGGGAATTGTGGTGTTTAAATAGTTAAATAAATGTTTTGGTCATTAAAAAGGCTAATTATTTAGGATTTTTCTCCTTTTCTCCATTCATATATGTATTTACAGGGTTTCCGTGGGTCATTTAAAATCTTTAAAAGTCATTAAATTATTATTTTTTAAATTAAGCCCTGAATTGGCATTAAAATTCATTAAACATGATTATTGGGGCATTTAAAATTCTTTATTTAAAAAAAAAAAAGTTTCTAAAAACAATTTCGTCAGATATATTGCAATATATTTGTGCAGAACTGCTTCCGGTTGATCGTACAGTTGTATGTTCAGAAAAATAGCTTGAGGCGGAGAAGAAGCTAGAGAATGGGGAAATGCTAACTTTGGGCTGGAGAACGAGGAATTCAGGACATGGCTGCATCCTGTCGATGGTAAAGATGATGAAGGATTTTGCCGTGTATATATGACAGTCATGGGTACTTGTTGATGGCCCTAAAATTATTTCTAAGAGCATTAAAAAGCATTAAATTAGAGTTGCTTATTCCTGTATAAACCCTGATTTATTTTTCTACGTATTTCTCTATTCATTTATAAAGTTATGTGTATTTATCTATTTATGTAAATTTTTTTCATACTTTTTCGTCCCTCATACTGAAAGTTTCAGACCCTTTCTTTGATAAATCAATGCGAATCATAACCATGCCTGTTTCAGAGGGTTCCAGTTCTTTTGTGAAATGTTTTTAAATTTGCTTAAGCTTAACGTTGATGCAGGTTAATCTTTGCTTTCTTTTTCTGAGGTTTATGAAGCCATTTTTCCATGCAGTGATCTCTCTGCATTAAATCTGGTGAAGGTTTTCAGGTTTTTGACTTTAAGAAAACAATACATCTACTTCCCGGAAAGTCTGCTTAACTTGGCTGGTTTCTCTGAAGAGGTTCTTTTCAACAAACTTTATAGATTTTACCATCTTGCAAAGTTGTTTACTTCAGCTGATACTGTGGCCCTTTTGCTGTAACTGAGCTCACTCAGTGAATCTCTTTTTCTCTGGATATAAAAAAAATATTTGCTTGTGCTTAAAGCTCCCAGGTTTTCTCTTTGATGGATTCGCTTTGTTTCTGCAGACTAATTACGGGCTGTTTCAGAGCTTGTTTGACTTTGTGCTGTGTCTAATGCAAATGTCACACTTGAAAATACCTCGAGACCTTTTTCTTGCTTAATTAGAGAATAATTAAAGTGGAAGCAGCCGCCATCTGAACACAAGACGCTTGGAGTTCAGTCGTATTTGTCAGTTCTAACCATGAAGAAGTTGCAGTTTCTCTGTAATTTTTCTGCTCATACGTTCCTTGTAACTGTTGAACTTGTTTAGTAAACAGTTAAAAATGCAGAACTTGACTCCAAATATTTAGATCCAGAATTATTGTCCAACAACCGAAGACGGAACTGAACGCCAGATGGATGACTTGGTCGAACTACACTTGAGAGCTTCAGCTCTTCTTTTGTTTATGCGTGTTTAACCGCCTCATGTTGCCGCATTGGCTGAAAGCTTCACTGCGTGGTTTCATAAAAAGCATCCATTTGTTTCTTTTAGAAATACTTTTCGTGTGTGTTTTTCTTCAGAGAGCATGTTGTCTAGTCTTGGCACTGCAGAGCTGAGCCCTGTCATCTAGGAGGGGCCGTGTCTTTGCGTGCATGCGTGCGTTTTGAGACATTTTGGGTGGAGTGTAGACTTCAGCTGTGTTTGATTAGTTGATTTTTCTTAACATATGTGTATGTGTGTGTATTTTGCCCCTGCATAATAGAAGCTGGCTGTATTACATCCGTTTAATAAAAACGTGTGTCTCAGTTTCATGCTGTGTTCCCCTCATGTTCCAGCCCACAGCCCCCCCAGCCAAAGACTCCTGAGGTGCAGTGGTCGGAGACGGACTCGCCAGTCTTCCACCTGACCGATGAGTCCTTTGACAGCTTCCTGGAGGAACATCCTGCAGCCCTGATCATGTTCTACGCCCCCTGTGAGTAATAAAGCATGTGGGGAAAAAAAAGGAAAAGAGCACAGGCCATTAGTATCAACCTAATGCATCAAAATGGAAGCTAATTTAAAGGAAAATCTTTTACTTCATTACTTTTTCTTTTTGGTTGTACTTTGTAATATAGAACATTTATTGTGATATGCAGCTTTAATTTTAGGGTATTTAGTTATTGTTTAAAGACAGTTCAGTTCCATCTTCACTTCCCACAAATATACAAGATTAAACCTTTACTGACCAAGAAGGTTCGGGGTACATTGTCACAAAAACAATTCCTTCAGTGCGATATTATGTAAAAGCTTCATCTGCTAACACCAACTTTACTTTATCCTGATGTCCCTTTAAGGATGAAGAATGTTATTTTAGTGTTTGTTTTGTAACTGGGAAGTTTCTTGCAAAACTGGGACTTAATTACATTTCTAGTGTTTTTATTAACTTATGTTGCCGATCAACATGATTTTACTGAATTTCTAAACTTTAACATTAACTTGCAACCCAGAAAAACAACTGTTTATATGATCATTCCAGAAAGTCCGTTATAACATTAAAACGGGACCGTAAAGCATCTGCCATCGATATAATTTTTGGAATTTTTTTAATCAAGTTTGACAGTTTATTTGTTTTAAAGTATAACAGATACATATTCATATTACAATCACAGTTCAATGTTTAAGTCTCCGGATTTTATGAGTAAATAGTGAGGTCCTAACCTCATCTTTGGGAACTGCTGCCTCAAAGATGGCCTCATCACATTGTGTCCTACCAGTGTTTGGAAAATGGCTTAACAAAAGTAACTAGTTATAGTTACTTGTCCTAAAAAGTAACCGAGTGATTAACTCCATTAATGTCCAATCAGAGTAGGTACTTACTAGTCAAAGTAACTTAATAAGTAATCTTAAATCTTGATGGGTTTTTTTATGACTTTTGTGTTGTGAGAAGATTGAATGCAGCTTGCAGTTTAAATATTAAATTTAGAAAGTATATTTCTAGTTAACAAATAATTTAAATAATTAATCCAAAATGCTACAGATCTGAAAACAGCATTTTTATGTGTGCGTGGTGGGACAAGTCATTCAAGTCACTAAATTACAATAAATTTGTGAAGATGTGATTATTATGTTTAGTGTTTATACTGACAGAGCAATAAAGCAAATTAAATGTTTAAGAATTTTTTAGGTATGCACATTGACAGGCTTTGTGGTTAAAAAAAAAATAGCAGTGACACTTAAATATAATGCTTTTCTAGCAGTTTAACAAATATTAAATATACCTTGGGGTTTTTATGTTTAAAAGGCAAAAATGGACAGAAATTACGATTTTACTCCTTATCGGTTTGTGTTCCAACCTTTTCGATGTTATCCGTCCATGTAATGTCTGTGAACATGAAATTTACAAACTCCAGAACTTTTAAACTACAGCTTTACTGAGTTAATCTATGTATTAATCAGCTCTAATCTGCCAAAGATTCAAGCTCTCAATTTCACTGCACAGCAAAATCAGACCATTATTATAGTTGCTTTATTCCCCTCTTGCTCTATTATGTGTTTTTGGAAAGTATTATAGCACATAAACAATGATGTTTATCCATACAAATAATGTTTATCCCCCTGTCCCTGCAAATAGATCCTATATCCCCCCATTAAGGGGTCCAGTCACACAATATGACTTTACAACTTTCTCAGAGTTGCTCACTCTGATCACAAACTAATGCTTTTTGATTAGATTTTAGCACCCTGTTGGCTTTTATTATTTCTGTGTTTAACTCTTTTTTTTTTGGTCCATTTGTCTGTGAACTTCAGTGTCTCAGACTTCAGTGTCAAGACTGTTATTTGCTATAAAAGGTTCGGCTGCATGCTGTCCAATAATAAAAATAGTAAAACAAATTGTTCTACATTAAAGTTGTAGGGAAGTCATATTTAAATGTCATATTATTCTGCCTTAAACATTTATGTAAATTTACTCTTTATCAGACTATATTGTCCCCAAATTTAGAAAATGTATTATTATTATTTTTTAATCCTGTCTTAAAATCTGTGTTTTTTCTTCGGTATCTTATGCAGGCCAGTTAGTTGTAAGTCAGCTTGTACACCTAAATCCGGCCAATCATATATCAATGGTCAGCTGTCAGTCACATTTTTTATCTTGATTCATATGTCGCAGCTAATATACGCAACGGTTGAAATAAGAATCATTTCCTTTCCCATTGAGTTCTGTCTCAGTGATCACGGGGATGGAAGTCTGTTTCTTCAGCAGGCGTAGAGCTAACAGAACTGCCAGCGTAGCGAGGCAAGGGCTCAAACATGTACGGCTGTAAGCCTTCTACACCAAACCAAGCTTCTGCCGCCCTGGCGTCCTCTTCCACAACATCTTCGTCCCCGCTTTCCTCCTATAAATAAAAAATGAATGATGGAGGAGACTCATCCACGACCTCCGACACAAGACTCTTCTCCTCTTTCATGTTTCCTCTGTCCATAGCGTTCCTTGACAGTGTAGTTTCTAAGTTACCAATTTAGTGCTACTTGGTCCCAATGGAATTTCCCATTGGGAACCTACTAGCACAAAGTTGCTAACTCATTAGCAACGATGCTTTCGAGAAACCGGCCACAACCAAACATGCTTGCCAACCTTCCACCACAACAACCCCGCCCCTTAATAAACGAACTATCACATTCACTTCATTAACTTGTGTAAAGTCGGGTACCACTCGGGAGAATTCAGAAATGCAACAGTTGGAACGGCCGTTTCCCTGCGACTTTAAACAGAAGAGAAGTAGAACCTGCACCAAGCTTTTATTCTCTGTCTGCTGCAAGGGATCTGCTTTATATTCAATATTTACTTCAGGTTCAGAACTGAATCAGCACAAATTAGCATAGATTTAAGTATTTGCTTTAACTTTTTTCAAATTACTTACAGTTTAAAGGCTGGTCTAACAGATAGGGATGTTTTTAAGGTAATAATTTTAGACAAAACTTTTTCAAGAGTGTGACTTTTTGGTTTCCACTGATAAGGAACTTAATTTCTCTTCCACTCTGTTCATCACTCTCTCACTACCTCTTTCTATCTCTCTGTTATATATTACAAGATTGGTTAACAGATATTTAGGCGGTATAAATATTGCACATCCATATCAGCCAGATTTTTTTAAATTTAATAATTGAAATTATGAACAAGTTGTTTTCCAACATGAGGGTTCCAGTCATACAGTATGAGTAGCTAATCTTAAATGGATATAGAGGCCTTTTGGTTAACTTATGGTGCCCTCCTTGTTTAACAAATTGTATTTCTTTGTTTTACACTTAGGTCCATTTTTAAGACATATTTAACTGTTTTGCATGTGTGCAACAAGCAAATAAGCGACTCGTTTTTACCAGTGGAGGTGTGAAAGAAAGAGGGAAAAAGTCCAAGATTGAGTGTGAAAAAGTGACAATACATTGGATGCCAAGGGTAACGAGGCCAGCACTCTGAACACAAATGAATTGTGGTTTTAGTTGAAGGAGCTCAAGTAACAGACACTGCAGAGTTAATGGATGCTTTAATAAGTTTTCCAGCAGATTGCGTCTGCGTGCTAAATGTTAATCGTCTACTGAGTGTTCCCTGTGCAAATGTTGTTTTCAGGCTTAAAAACAATTAAGAAAACAATATCAGGATGAAAGCTTGCATGTAATGCTTTATTTTGAAATAATAATTGGGATTTTTATGTGAGTTTTTATAGGTATACTATGAAACTTCATCCCTTTAAGTTATAAACAACCATGTCTTTAACAACCAGCTGTGCTTGGAAATGCTTTGCAATCCTGATAGATGAAGAACTTGAAGCAGTTTGGTGGAAAACTCCGCCAAGTCAGAGTAAAACGTTATCTTTACTCTTTTATTTTGCAAATAAATACTCAACATGAATTCATTAGAGGCCAGCACTGATAATGGAGAAGAAAATATCAAGCTGATAAAAAGTAATTAATTCTATAATCTCCAGGGTTGTTTTACTCCCATTTTTGTGTTAAACCTTTTGACACATTTTAAAAATTGTGTAATCTTATGTTTGTTTCTCCCCCAGCCCCTTTTGTGCAATGAACTATGTAGCGTAATCTTGAGAATGTTTTCAACATTTCAAAATGTCCCTCATCGTATCAGAAGAGCTTCTCGCTCCTTCCTGCCATGGAAAACATTCTCATGCGGTTTCCCTTGGGTTCAGCTGTTATTTAGTCACACAGATAACATCACCATTTTGCTGTCATGCTAAGTATGAACCGTCTGTTGGAGAAAGAAACCAAAGAAAGATTGGAAATGGAAAAACAAACAGGCCAGAGCGAATGCAGGAAATTCAGCGCACAATAGATATGTATCAGACACGAAACCCTCCATCCTTGTGAATAACACCTCATTGTTACCATATGGTTTATTTAATTCTGCTTGTCATATCTACACATGCCTCACATTTTCATTTAGGCACCATACGCTGAATGTGTAACTCTGCCAGACTTTTCCCCACTTCCAGACAAACATTCCTCCTCTCTGTTGGGGAGCTTTCCACTCCTCTTGCTGTGACATATAACTCGCATTAAGTTAGACGACATGCTGTTAATTTTGATGCAGCTAGATTTATATCGAACGTATAAAACGGATCAGTATTTTCAAAATGCAAAAAGTTACATCAAAGCACATCTTTAAAATGATGTTCCTCTCTGAAGGTCTGTGTCCTCAGAAGTTGTCACTGGCGATGTGTTGCTGCCTGTGTTTTGCAAAGTGGTGAATCAGGGTTTTTTTTTCTGTGCCCTTCTGGTCCCAATTTTAATGCTAATTCTTTTTCTTTTCCATGAAAATGATTGCAGTTGACTTTTGTAAAGTATGTTGATGGGGTAAAATTGGGTTGTACGTCATAATAACATGGCCACAAATGCCAGAATAAAACTGCCTTTGTACTGAAAGTGCTTTGGAATCCAAATCTTCTTTAAATTGAAACAGATCTGTTAAATAATTTGTTTATA